CGACGACTTGGTCTTTGCCACAGCTGACACTGCTGGACTCGCCTACGTGAAGTCCGAGCTGCAGAAGAGACACACGTGCACTGATCTGGGTGAACTGTGCAGCTACCTTGGCTTGCAGATCACCCGGGAGAGAGCACGCCGCACCATTATCCTGACTCAGTCACACATGGTGCAGCAGGTCCTTCAGCGCTTCGGCTTCACGTACTCCTCGCCTCAGGCCACTCCTCTGCCTACTCGCCACTCGCTCTCAGCTCTGCCTTCGGATGAGTCCGTAGAGTCGAGTGGCCCGTTTCCAGAGCTTGTTGGCTGCCTCATGTACCTGATGACCTGCACTCGACCTGACCTTGCATACCCTCTTAGCATTCTTGCACGCTATGTTGCTCCTGGGAGACACCGACCAGAGCACATGGCTGCAGCGAAGGGGGTGTTGCGCTACTTGTGCAATACGTCAGGCATGGGGCTAGTGCTTGGAGGGCACAGTCCAGTGGTCCTCACTTGGCACGCAGACGCTTCTTGGGCTGACGACCAGGCTACGCAGCGGTCGTCACAGGGTTACACCTTCAGCCTTGGTTCCGTCTCTGTTTCGTGGCGGGCTACCCGCTCGTCTTCTGTTCTCGGCTCCAGTTGTGAGGCTGAGATCTACGCTGGGGCTATGGCTGCCCAGGAGCTTCGCTGGCTCACCTACCTGCTGACCGACCTTGGAGAGCCGCCTCGTTCTCCTCCAGTCTTGTACGTAGACAACAAGGCCATGCTGGCCTTGTGTCGAGAGCAGCGACTGGAGCACAGGACAAAGCACATTGCTCTCCGCTACTTTCTTGCGCGTGAGCTGCAGCAGCGTGGACAGTTGCAGCTTGCGTACGTGGCCTCTGAGGCCAACACTAGTGATGTCTTCACCAAGGCACTTGCGCCTTGTGATCATCAGCGCTTCTGCACTCAGCTGGGTCTTGTGCCTGTCTTGCCTCACTTGCTCTCTTCTTGACCTTGCTTGTACTGTCACATATATATACTCCTGCTCTTGCTTGCTTAGTCTCTTGTCTATATATATGTGTGTGATCTTGCATGTGAACTGGCCTTTTGGCCTTTGAACTTGTGCTCGGATTGTGTGGTGACTTTGTGATCCACCCTGAGCTTTGCTTTGCTTTGCTTGACTGGTCTTGTGACCCCTTGTTCTCCCCCACTTTGCCTATGGGGGTGTGTCAGAACATTATAGCTTACTTGTTTGTGTAGGCTATAGTGGGGTATCCCATAGGGGGTACAACCCAACTAGGGTTTTCTATTTGTACTCACTTCGTTCATAGTTCATTCATTCTCGTTCACTTCTTCTCAGCAAGTCAGGCCAAACGTCCGCGCACACCTGCCTACATTCGCACGTTGGCACGCCGTCGACCTGCTGCATTGGCATGTCGCCTTTCTGCAGTGCTGGTGCGGCTCCTCTACGCAACGCTGGCAGGCGGTCGACCAAGCTGTGCTGGCGGTTGACTAGGCTAGCTGCAGAGTTGCGAGGTGCCTGATGTAGTCATTTCTGTCATTCTGTAATGCAATCTGTGCCTAGTGAAACTCTTGCCAATTTCTTCCGTGAAATTGCAAGTGCTAAGGAACTAAGCAAAGCTACGATCACTCCTAGCAGTTCGTGCCAACCCTCCCCCCCCCCCTCTATAGTCTAGCTCAATCCTCGTAGAGTGACTCTCCGCAGCAGGTTGTGCATCCGCCTCCCCGGGAACGTCATAGCGTGTTGGTGGAGTTGGGCCAGTCTGCCGCATGTGCTCACAAGCAATATATGTCAGAATGTTGTATTTGTCTAGCCTGCAGTGGGGTACTCTATAGCGAGTACAGCCCAATTTAGGGTTTCCTATATGTACTCAACTGCCTGCTAGTGCAAACCCCTCTTTCGTGTTCTATCTTTCTGCTTAGTATCTCGACATGGTATCAGAGCGGTTATGCTCCTGGCCTATGGGCACACCATTAGCTTCCGCTGCTGTCATGTCTGTTGCGCGCCCCGTAGCGCACGACGTTTTTTCTTCCCGCCATGCGCTCGGGTCGCACGGCGGTTTTCTGCCCGCCGCGCGCTCGTGGCGCGCGGAGGTTTTCTGCCCGCCGTGCGCCTCGAGGCGCGCGACGGTTTCCTGCCCCGTCGACCACCGCGTCGCCCCCCCGTCGTCCATCGAAGTGCCCTCTGGGACCTGCGCGTCGCCCCCCGTCACCCGTCGAAGCGCCCCTGGGACCCGCGCGCGGCCCGTACAGCCTGCGCGCGGCCCGTACGACCTGCGCCAGGCCCGTGCGCGGCCCGTACGGCCTGCGCCAGGCCCATGCGAGGCTCGTTCAGCCTGTGCCAGGCCCGCGCGCACCTGCTCTGCCGTGCGTGCACCCCCTCCCGCCCCGTGCTGCCTGTGTTAGGGTTTGGGGGTGGCGAGTATGGGGGTGACGGGTGTGTGCGCCGTCCCCTACTCCTCCTCCTCCGTCTCCCACTGCTGCAGCTGCCGCTGAATGGGGGTGGATGTGTGGGAGTCGTTGAAGTGGTACTAGGGGGGTGGCATGCTAGCAGTGCTAGGGGTACCGCAAGGGGTGTGTGAAAGGGGTGTGGGACAGCTGGGGGAGGTTGAGTGGAGGCAGCCGTCTTATCATCCGCAGCGCCAGTAGTCCGGAGGCTACAATCTCCGGTTATCGCCAGTCGCCCGTGGGTCAGTTGCTCCTGCCGCTCGGCGTAGCCGCGGAGCCAGTTACTCCTGAAGTCCGGGCCATTGCTTCGGTAGCCACTGAGCCAACTGCTATAGTGTGTCTGCAGCTTCAGCCGTCGCCTCCCATCTTCTCGCCCCTACAGTCTCTCCTCCTCTTCACTTGCCCTCTGTGATAGCCTCTAGCTTTGCTTAACATTGTGAACTATTGCTCTGAATGCTTATTGTGCTGATTACACCTCACTTTGGCTATGGGGGTGTGTCAGAATGTTGTATTTGTCTAGCCTGTAGTGGGGTACTCTATAGCGAGTACAGTCCAATTTAGGGTTTCCTATATGTACTCAACTTCCTGCTAGTGCAAACCCCTCTTTCATGTTCTATCTTTGTGCTTAGTATCTCGACAATATGCTCATCTTCCTACATCCAGGCGCGCACGAGGCCCTCAAGTCAATATCCCGTACGCGTGGCACCCCTTAATGGTGTCACAGACCAGCTTGGCTGCCGCCATGGTGGCGGTCTCTGCGACGCGAGGATGCTTCAAAATGGGGTACTCTGTGGAGGGGGGGGCTGGAGAAATAAAAACGTAAAAGAGATGGCATGTTATGAGCCTAATGTATAAGTCAGGTTCCACGATATCAATGGCAATCTTAGCAGCTGCAAGGAGGTAAAACGGTAACACGAAAGAAGAATTTGAAACAGGAAAGAACAAACACTAACATGTGAATGTTGGAGCGGACGTGCATGGCGCGAAAATAGAGGGCACCAGAAACCCGCATGGCACGTTGACATTCGTCGCACTGCCACCATCCACAGCATGCGGGTCCGCGGTTGCAGGGTTGTTCTGGTACAGGTCCATGTAGGGGAACCAAGCAGGCTTACGCACAGCACCTTTCCCCGGCGCCTTCTCCCCATTCTTCAACTAGAGATGCGCACAAGGTTGCGCCACTGCTTCTGCATAGCATTAACACCGCGAATCCACCAGGGGTTTTCCTTCTCGATGTGACACGCGAGGCAAACTCAGTACCGAGAGCACAGCTTCCCAATGAGCAAATCAAATCTGTCCTTCGTGAACCAGCGTGCGGCGACTAATATCGCATTTTCCCGCTGGGACCAGCCGCTCCGCTTGACAAGGAATTGATCACGGGTCTTCGGCGTATGGCGAGGGGATTCACCATTCTTGGTTGCGGTCCGCATGCGGGATTGGTACGCCCGGCAACGGAGTTCCCTCGAGTACAAGGCCAGTGGACTTGCGATCAGCGGCGATCTGCTTGTTCATCTAGTCGATGTACGAAATCTCATTTGGATCCTGCGGGCAAGTGTCATAGGTGTCCACAAAGTCCTTGCACTTGCACGCCATGGCTAGCGAGCAGAGTAGATCTAGAGTGACGACTGGATAAGAAACAAGAAAGGAAATTGGGAGAAGATGGAGTTGAACATGATGGAGAGGGAGGGATGGGTACGAGGTCTGGAGGTGGAGTGGTTTGGGCGGGCAATCTTGCGTGGGGGCACGGTGCAAGTCAGGGAAATGCATAGTGTCTTTGGCTGCCCGAGGAGAGTGGTATCTTTTCCCGCTCGAATTTGGCACTTTGTAGGGTGTCCAGGAGCATGCGGTTGGGTCGGCCAAGAGCTTGACAGTTCGACGAGCGTGCGAAGGCTTGGACGTGACAGGGTATCGTCCAACTTGTCCACTACTTTGCGCATTCAATGCTAACCAATGTAAAATACAGCAAAAGTCGCATTAGGTTGACACTCGTTTGTGACACAATACAGTCTATGCTGAGTCTGGGTGTCACAAAAGGATTGAGATACAAGTGTCTATCCAGGAATGTACCCTAACACAAATCTATTCCCTCAATAAATCTGAGCCTTTTGTATGGACACCTATGGTGGCGCTGGGATGCCCTTTTTATCCGCACGCGCGAAGTGAAGCAGGCAAATCGCTTTGAGAAAATGAAAGCTCTCCTTCACCACGTTGTTTGAGTTGGTTGGTTGGATACAGACCCAATTCTAATACCGTATTCTCCCGGACAAAACACCCCCCCATGATTGAGCACCCCCGGGTAGCTTGTGCGGGGTGGGTGCTATGGGCGAGCTCGTTTATACCGCCCTTTTGGGCTGATTCTCTATAAGACCCGGGGGGGGGGGGGGGGGGGGGGGGGGGAGGGGGGTGTTATAGTCGGCAAAAACGATAACTTTACAGGAACTACAGAAGTACTGCGCCAGCACCTAGACATTGACAATGTCACCTAGACTGCAAAACCATAACCACAACATCACCACATCATAGACATCTGCAATTTCAACATCAGAGGTCTTTACTTGTGTTTTTTACTCAAACTCGTCCCCTGCATGCCACTCGTCACACTCTTCCCCGTCATAGCGGCCAGGGCGCCACCACTCGTCATCGTTGGGTTCTTCTGCCTCCCCGCCTTCATCAAGCATGACCCCCTCTTCCTTTGCCACCGCCGCCTCCACGTCCTCCTCTGTGGCGTCATCCTCCTGTGCCGCCGCCTGCAGCTCCTCGACCGGCATGGGGACTTCGGCGTAGAAGGGGTTGACGACGAGATCATCATCAATCATGTCGTTGACGTCGTCAAGGACCTCCACCTCATTCTTGTCCCGCATCTGGGCAAGGATGAGGTGGTCCTCGCTGCCATCGATGGGGGTGGAGATTCCACACGTGACGAACGCCTTCTTCACAAGCTCCTCTAGGATTGCTTCCCAGGACTCATCGATCCAGCGGAACACCAACTTCGCTGGCGGCTTCTTGAGATTGCCTGGGGGACGGGGAAGGGTAGACAAGGACGAACGTGAGCATACAGAGCTCTCTCTGACACGGATTCGTAGTTACGCAAGCGGATGTTAGGGCTTCAATTCACCAGCCTTGGTGGTGAGGTTGATTCCCTCTTCTTCAAAACAGACACTATAGCGATGACGCACACCACACTTGAATGCGCGGTTCACCGCCACATCCAGAGGCTGCACCAGCGGTGTGTAGCCCCCTGGGATGACAGCACGAGACAGCTGAAACATCCTCATGGTCTGCCCGACCGCCTTGGTCAAGTGGTCGCGGTAGGATTCGAGCACAACTAAGCCCTCCTTGCGGCGTCCGGTTGTTTCACGTAGGGGCTTCAGAAACGGCACCATCACCTGGGTGATTCAGTCCTGCACCAGGGCTTCGTCCATCTGGCCTTTATCATGTGCACGGATCACCACACCTGCCAAACAAACGCAAGAGGGTCAGGTTCGGTTGCAACATTTGACAGGTAAGAGCACGGACAACATCATAAACGTGGGTCGCTTACCGGCAGGGATGGGCACCTTCGAGACGGCCTTGCACTTAAAAACCACGTACGGCGGAAGTTTGAGCCCGCTTGCTATTACTGCTAGCATGACAACAACTGTGAGAGTACGACTGCTTATGCCAGCTATGCTTGCTTGAATTTAATTTATTATGCTATTTCTAGCATAGGATTATTTTATGCATGCATGAATTGCTTGATTTCCTAGGCTAGGTGCTCTTCTATATTTTATTATAGTTGTAGCACCGAGCTAGGTTGCGTGCACCAAATTCTGGGCTTTTCGGTTGCCACCGAATTGCCTCCTACCGAATTCGGGAAGGGCCTGTTTGGGACGCTTCGCGACCCTCAGAAGCTTCGCGTAACACCTGGTTACTGAACCTTGTGTCGAGCCTATATGTAGCCTCGTGTTGAACCCAGGTGATCATTCAATTCACATTCTCTTTTCTGAGCTCGATCCTATATCCAACACTTGGTAAACAGAGCCTGTTTAGACGCGAAGTTTTTCGACCGCTTAAAACCTAGCTTTCAAAACCGCGGGGGCGACGACGGGAAGCGCCGATTTCAGGTACGTACACCAGTTCCGCGCTATTTTCACCGACCCCCTCGAACCGGTTTGCGAACACTCTTCAGGTCCAGATGTGAAAAAGTTGGAATTTCGACCGTCATATCGATTTGAATCTCAACGGCCCTGAGAAATTCTCCCAAAAAAGTTGGAATTTGACGCGTCGGATCAAATTTCTTCTCAACGGCCAAGATCGGACGCGAATGTAAGCTAAGGGAGAAATACGCAACCTACAGAAACAACGCTCGTTGTTTCTAGATTCAATTCGACTCAGAGTGAGTGGACCAGCGCCTAGATTTTTTTTTTTTTTTTTTTTTTTTGTCACACATCTTCCTGCAAATCGTCAAATGGAGGAAAATAGTGATAACTTCGTACGAAAAATTACGGAGTTACATACCACCCTGGACAAGACGCGAGCGGCACTCCAGCGAATAGAGGAGCTTCTCGCAAACCAGTCGGCAGTCGCCATAGCAGTAGCTAACGCAGCAGCGAACGCAGGGTGAAGAAAGTAGGAAAAAATGATTGCATTGAGCAGCATGAGGAGTACAAGTAGGAAACCCTAAAGTGTTGTACCCCATATTGACTACCCCACTACAGCCTAAACAGACTATAGCATATATAGTTCGACACACCCCCATAGGCAAAGTGGGGGAGAACAAGAGGTCACAAGACCAGTCAAGAGAAGCAAGGCAAGCCCAGGGTGGATCACAACGTCACCACACAATCTGAGCACAAGCACAAGGCCACAAGGCCAGTTCACAAGCAGAGTTATACATCAAGAAGAACAAGCAAGGCAGTGATCACAACCTAGCAAGGGTAAGCATGCAAGTGCAGGTATATTTAGATCACAGTACAAGCAAAGTCAAGAGGTGAGCAAGTGAGACCAAGTAGGCACAAGACCTAGCAGAGTACACAAGCGCTGATGATCACAAGGCGGAAGTGCCTTGGTAAAGATATCAGCAGTGTTGGCCTTTGAGGCCACGTAAGCAAGGCGCAGCTGACCCCGCCGCTGCAGCTCACGAGCAAGGAAGTAGCGAAGAGCAATGTGCTTCGTTCTGTGCTCCAGTCTGTGCTCCCGACACAAGGCCAGCATGGCCTTGTTGTCTACGTACAGAATTGGAGGAGAACGAGGCTGCTCTCCAAGGTCAGTCAGCAGGTAGGTGAGCCAGCGTAGCTCTTGTGCAGCCATGGCCCCTGCGTAGATCTCGGCCTCACAGCTGGAGCCGAGAACAGAAGACGAGCGGGTAGACCGCCACGAGACAGAACCGGAACCAAGGATGAAGGTGTAACCCTGTGACGACCACTTCATAGCCTGGTCGTCAGCCCAAGAAGCGTCTACGTGACCAGTGAGGACCACTGGACGTTGCCCTCCAAGCACTAGCCCCATGCCCGACGTACTGCACAAGTAGCGCAACACCCTCTTCGCTGCAGCCATGTGCTCTGGTCGGTGTCTCCCAGGAGCCACATAGCGTGCCAAGATGCTAAGAGGGTATGCTAGGTCAGGTCGTGTGCAGGTCATCAGGTACATGAGGCAGCCAACAAGCTCTGGGTACGGGCCACTCGGCTCTACGGACTCATCTGAAGGCAGAGCTGAGAGAGAGTGACGAGTAGACAGAGGAGTGGCCTGAGGCGAGGAGTACGTGAAGTCGAAGCGCTGAAGAACCTGCTGCACCATGTGTGACTGAGTCAGGGTAATGGTGCGCTGTGCTCTGTCCTGGGTGATCTGCAAGCCAAGGTAGCTGCGCAGTTCACCCAGGTCTGTGCACGTGTGTCTCTTCTGCAGCTCGGACTTCACGTAGGCGAGTCCAGCAGTGTCAGCAGTGGCGAAGACCAAGTCGTCGACGTACACGAGGATGTAGAACGGCGGCAAAGAGGTGTCGGTGCGCAGAAACAGCGACGGGTCTGCAGTAGAAGGAGCAAACCCAAGAGCCGCAAGTGTGGTCCTCAGTGTGTCGTGCCACTCACGGGGCGCCTGGCGGAGACCGTAGACTGGCCGCCGAAGGCTCCACTGGGTACCAGGAGGGAACGACCCAGTGAAGCCAGGTGCGCGGCACAGCCACATCTCCCTCGTGCAGGCTGCCTTGCGGGAAAGCTGTGCTGAAGTCAAGAGAGTGAAGCTTGTAGTCCCGCTGAGCGGCTATGTGCAGCAGCACCCGAAGAGTGGTCATCTTCGGGGTGGGAGAGAAGGTTTGAAAGTAGTCAACTCCCTGCCGCTTACTGAAGCCTCGAGCCACGTAACTCGCCTTGAAGACAGGCGGAGAACCCGGCGGCCGCTTCACCATGAAAATCCACATGCCACTGACGATGTTCGCCCCAGGTGGGGGAACTTCGTCGACGTAGGTGCCTGTGGACTTCCAGGAAGCCATCTCTGCGTCCATGGCTGACTGCCACTGTGAGGAGTAGGGACCCTCGATCGCCTCAGTGTACGATTGAGGAGTCGGGATGTCTGGTGCATCCGGGTCTCCCTCAGGGGCAATCAGCGTGGACACGAGATGAGGCAAAGGAGCAGCAAAACACTGGAACTCCTCCTACGTGTCCTCAAGGACGTCTACGCTAAGAGCACACTCACCCCCGACGGACGAAGGACAGACAGACTCAGACCCAGCAACAAGACTAGCAGCGTAGTCTAGACGACAGCGAGCAGCAAAGTCGACAAGCTCAGCAACTAAGGCAGACGCAGAAGTGGACTCAAAAGAAGGGTCAGTGACAACAGTAGCCAAGAGACGCGTGACAGTAGGACTGGCAGCTCGAAGAGAGTCGAACTCAGGGTAAGCAAGAGTAGGAAGAGAGGACTCTGGAGGAGACGGCAACGGGACACGCAGAGGAGCAGTGGAAGGACGCAGTGCCATCTGGTTTGTGCCGGGGACCGTAGGAGGACGCTGACGCGGAGCACGACCACTGGTGCGAGCAGCACGAACAGGCGACGCAGGACGAGACATGACGCTTAGCAAGACCTCCAGTAGGACCAGTGTAGGGAGAAGGAGCAGGCAGGGGGGAGACATGCTATAACAGTGTCCGCGACTGGACAGGATGAGGACACGCTAAGGGAGGAGCAGGACTAGTAGAGGGCGGGAGACCAAGAACCTGCTCAAGGAGCAGAACGAAGTACGGCCTCGGCCGCGCAGCACCTCCAGAACCAGCAGGGACAGCACCAGTACCCCCAGCGGCAGCACCAGCGTCAGCAGCACCTCCAGCTCCAACAGCGCCAACTCCATCACCCTCAGAAGCACCAGCGCCAGCAGAAACACCAGCGCCAACACCCCTCGCAGCTCCAGCTCCAGTAGCACCCCCAGCAGGACTCCCAGTCCCAGCAGCAACAGTAGTGCCTCCAGTTCGAGCAGCACGGCTCCAGCGCCGGGCAAACCACTCGCGCAGCTCCTGCGGAGAGAGGGGCTCCCACCTCGACGAAACACCACCAGAGGCCACACGAGTAGACCCAGCTCCCCCAAGCTCCGTACCCCCAGGCTCAGCACCCCCAGGCTCCGCACCCCCAGGCTCAGCACCCCCAGGCTCCGCACTGCCAGACTCAACACCCCCAGGCTCAGCACCCTGAGACTCAGCACCCCCAGGCTCCGCACCCCCAGACCCGGCACCCGCAGGCTTAGCGCCCCTAGCACCACCAGAGTCAACAGCTACCTCGCCAGGCCCAACTTCGTCTACCTGGGACACACCTAACGGGGCAGGACCCTGAGGGGGTAGGGGGTCTACCGGGGGAGGACCTGACGCAAGGAAGAGCGGCGGCGGGGGGAGGGGCGCAGTGCGGTAGGGGAAGAGATGGTAGTAAGGCACCGACTCGTCAAAGGTGACGTCCTGGGAGGACAGAACACCGCGCGAGGTGGGGTGGTAGAACCGCCAACCAGGCGCGTCAGGGGGGAAGCCAAGGAAGACGCAGGGAACGGCACGAGGGGACAGCTTGTCCGAAGAGAAGTCGCGGACAAACGCCCGAGATCCCCAGACCCGAAACGCAGACGCATTGCCAACCTTCCCCATCCATCGCAAGGTGGGGGAGGTCTCTGGCAAGGAGACCTGGGGCTGAAGGTTGAGCTGATGCGCCGCGTACTGAACCGCAAACGGCCACAGAAAATGGGGAGCAGCCGCATGGATCATGGACGTACGAGCGACGTCCATGACCATGCCAATGTGGCGCTCAGCAATCCCATTTTGCTGTGGAGAGG